ACAGGAATTCAGACTAGCTGATCACAATGGTCTCTTCCGGCCTTGGAATCTATGAAAACCGAAGGCTTCCCAGGTAGAGCTCTGCCAAGCAACACCTAGGGCTGTGTTGCATACGCTCCCGGGCCATCGGGTGAGCCTGGCAGGTGCTGTTCTGGAGCTGTACGTTACACCTCAGCACAAGAGTCACAGGACGCTCTTTAGGGGCCAAAGTCAAGCAGTCCAAAGATAGGAAATGCTAGATTTACAGCAGCCATATCTCTGCCTCCTGCTGCGTGTGCATTATGATACAGCCTTCTCCTGCCCCTCCCCCTTCCTTGTTCCTGTCCCGCCTGCCTTCTGTTCTGCCCCCTCTGCTCCTGCCCCTTGCCCCCTCCCAGATCCTAACCCCTTAACCCCCAGTCTCTCCTGCCCTCCGGGCTCCTGCTCCTGTCCCACTGCCTTGCATCTCTCCCCCTCCCCTGTCATTTCTCACCCTCTGTATTGGAGTTTGGCAGCTTCATCCTTCCCCTCCGCTGAGAGCACCAGAGACACAGGCTCCATTCCGCTGCCAGACCCACCACGGTCCCTGTCAGGCAAAGTCCTGCTCATCCCCTGCGACTCTGGGATTTGCACGCTCACTTCCTCTGTGGGGATGGTGCATGTGCAGACCAGTCACGCGTAGGAGTTGTGAGGGGCTGGAGCATGCTCGGTGCAGAGAGAATTTTCAGAGAATTTAGCTGCCAAATTCTAGCAAGTTTCTACTGAGCATGTGAAAACTGCAATTTTAGGGCAACCCCCCTGACAAATTGCAAGCCCCTGTCCCAAAGCAAGGAGGTGCTAGAGCTTCTCAACTCGTCTGTAAGATTTTACTCTTGGGGGAATTCTGTGCCAATACGCAATGCAGAATTTTGCAGAAATTAAGGTTGGGTGCACAGAATTTCCTTCCCCGCCCATAGAAATAGGCTGCAGAGATGTTGGTCACCACTAGGGGCCACTGGACCCGGCAGAGCCCAGCTGGCAAATAGAAGACAAGGCTGGGGGGAGAGGGAGGGAACTGGAGGGTTCCCAGCAGCTGCAATTCCCAGCATGCCCTGAAGGAAGCAGGCAGTGATGCAGGAAAATCCATGTAAGCCTGGGACCCAGCATCAGGGTGTTTCTCCCTCTGGATCCCTGGGCTCTGGGGGGTAGAGTCTGTGAGTGTCTGGGCTGGGGGGGCACAGCTAGGGTGACCAGATGTCCTGATTTTATAGGGACAGTCCCTATATTTGGGGGTTTTTTTATATGGGCGCCTATTACCCCCCATCCCTGTCCCGATTTTTCAAACTTGCTGTCTGGTTACACTAGGTGCAGCTGGGCTCTGGGGGCGAGGGGAGGGGGTGTGAGTGTCTGGACCGGGGGAGGGGGCCCACAGCTGGCCTCTGGGGGGAGAGTGGGGGGAGTGCCCCCCTGGCTGGGCTCTGGAGGGGAGGGGGCAGAGAAGCAGGAACTGGGTTGTTGTAAGAGTTTCTTTAGCTCTCTACTCCTGGGGGAATTTGTATGTGTCTGTATTGTTACGGACATACTTGCTGACAGGTATTTTGAAATAAATTATCAAAATAATTGAAAATGGCCTGATTATATAGTGTTATTTTGACAAATAAAATTTGCAGAATTTTAAAATATTGTGCACAGAATTTTTAATTTTTTGGTGCAGGAGTAATCAGATTTTACCCCAGGAGTAATCAGATTTGTTCCAGTGTTGGCAAACAATGAATTTTCCACTAAACTCCGTAGCTGATTTACGATGAACTGTTTTAGCTGAAACTTTCCCAAAAAGTTCAACCTGAGCCAGACAAAAAAAAAAAAAAAAAGCTCTTATGATGGGAACCATCAGGCAACCTTAGCACACACAAAAATCCCCCCATGAGTAGAGAGTTAAAGAAATCCCTATGACAACCCAGTTCCTGTTTTTCTGCCCCCCCCCCCGCAGACCCCAGCCCTGGCCCCCCCTCGCCCCGACCCCCCCCCCCCCCCCCCCAGGCCCGCCCCCTCCCCCCCCCCCCCGCCCAGACACTCACACCCTCTACCCCCCAGAGCCCAGCTGCAAGCCGTCCCCCGGGGCCAGACACTCACAGACCCTACCCCCCAGAGCCCAGGGATCCAGAGGGAGAAACAGCCTGATGCTGGATCCCAGGGTTGCATGGAGTTTCCTGCGCACCACCTCCTTCCTCCAGAGTGTGCTGGGCACTGCAGCTGCTGGGAACCCTCCAGCTCCCCCCCTCCTCCCAGCCTTGTCTTCTATTTGCAAGCTGGGCTCTGCCAGGTCCAGCGGCCCCTAGTGGTGACCAACATCTCTGCAGCCTATTTCTGGGGGGGGGGGGGAATTCTGTGCACCCCACATTAATTTCTGCAAAACTCTGCATTGCACAGTGGTGCAGATTTCCCCCAGGAGTAAAAAATGCACCTTTGAGCAGTCCTCCGTAGAATTTCTAGGGTTCATCCTATATCCGTCTAGTATCAAAATGGACCTGCGCAAGGTAAAGTCAGTCCTCGAGTGGGCAACGCCACAGCATGTTTGCAAACTACAGTGTTTCCTAGGATTCGTGAACTTCTACCAGTGATTCATCCTAAAGTTCTCAAAGTGGATCGCCCCCTCGCTGACCTGCTCTGGAAAAACACCAGGTTCCTCCGGTCTCCTGAGGCCCAGAAGGCCTTCGAGCAAGTAAAATTTGCATCTACCACTGCTCTGATATTGGTCCACCCCAACACCATGCAGGCCTTCACCATCAAAGCGAATGCTTCCAACTTGGTGACTTGGAGCAGTGCTTTCCCAAAGGTACGGTCCTCAACAGTTGCCACATCCATGCACCTTTTATTCCAGGAAAGTCACACCTATGGAGAAAAATAGCAACATTTTGGACAAAGAACTCTGGTGGACCAAGTCATCCACCTCCATGGCCTCCTGAAGCACATTGTCTCTGACCACGGTGTGCAATTTACCTCCTGCGGTTGGCAAGAAGCTCTTCAGATTTTGGTCATCTGCTCTTGTCTCTCCTCTGCCTACCATCATCAGACAAGTGGTCAAGTGGAGAAAACCAACCAGATCCTGGAGCAGTATCTTCGATGCTATATAAACCACCTCCCCCAGAATGACTGGTCCTTGTTGCTACCTCAGGCAGAGTTCACATACAGTAATGCAGAACATGCTTCTATGGGGCAAAGCCCTCCCCCCCCCCAAAACTATGGGTTCCACCCTTGGCTATACCTGCAGCTACCTGCATCTTCCCACAACCCAGCAGCCCTGGACTGGATACAACAGAGATGTCAAACCCAAGATAACCTAAAAGTTCCCCTGGAGGCAGCTCACCTGACTCATTGAAAAAGGGGCCTAGCGAAGCTCTAATTTGCAAACAGCCCTTCCCACAAAGCTCCCGATGCGGGAGACGTCCAGCCCCACTGACAGGCGGGGACGGACTCATTACACCGGAAAGAGGCACAGGAACAAGGTGATTCCCTGGCTGTTTGTTACTATGGCCCCTGCCTACTTGCCTTCAGCCTGTTCCTGGCCTCCTTAGCCCAGAGCCCCGTCTGTTCCCAGTTCCTGCTCCTACACCCAACCCCGACACTGCCCGGCTTTGACTCCTGATGCCGACTCCAGCTCTGACCCCTGCTCCTGTTCCAGGCGGCCGACTGTAACTATTAGGCATGACTGCCCACACCCTGTTTCCCTACAGCATGCCTGAAAGAGAAAACCTTACAGTACATGAAACAAGTGTAAGTCAGATGCGTCTGGGTCTTAATTCTTTGCTGCTTCTCCCCTGTGACATACAGAACTGAGGTGTGGCTGTTTATGATCTTGTGGAAGAATTGGGTGTAGGGTGTGTTCATACAATACCGTTGCTTCTGTATATTTGTTTAGTGTATGTGTTTGGGGTGGGCAGGCAAAAGGGGATATTTAGAAAGGGCCCAAATCCCATTAAGGACCCATTTCCCCCCTAGTAATTGGATTTCTGTTCTCAGTGGTTTATAACCAACCCAAGTGCAGTATTGTGGTGACAGGGAAGCAGGTTATGTGAAAATAAACCTGTGCTCCAGAACTTCACTCTTATTTATACAAGGTCTGTGTGGGCCTGTAGACATCCACAACGCAAAGGGATTTTAACAAGGCTAGATGGCTGTCGCACCCACAGCCGTGCTTCACTGCTCACAAAGGATTAGACAAGAAAAAGTTATTTGACCAGCAACCAAGGAATCTGAACTGCCCCTGAAATTCTTTCTGTGCTATTAGAAGGACATTGGACAATGCGGTGCCCTCTCCAGAGCAGTGCTCATTTGCTGGTTAAGCACATGCTGCCCTGGGTACACAGCAGGGTGGATTGTGACATCACTAACAGCTGCTGTCTTAGGGTGGGACTTTCACCAGTGCTCTGAGTTGGCTTGTGTCTGCTCCCACTGACACCTGCTGACTCTGCAGTGCTGGGAACAGACAAGCCCATGCTGAGCACTGATGAAACCCCCCTGGGAACATGTAGGGCTTCGCTTTCTATTCTGGTGTCGACTGGGGCTAGGTTGGGTTTGTACATGAGCTCTGTGTCCCAAGGTGGACCAGTGGGAAACGATTTCCTCTCTGTGTGGCAGATCTGCGTCTAAACCAAGGGTGAGCTCACAGGTTGGCCCCTTGTTATGGTTCACGGAGCTGCTGCTACTTGCTGCTCTGAGTTACAGGTCAGGGGCGTGCTCGCAGAGCAGCCCTGTGGGCAGCGATCTCCTTCCCAGCTCCTGGACTGAGGTTTAGTGGAGATTGCCATATCCATGATGCATCCAGAGGGGGAATGTCTCTGCTCCGTCGCAGCATGTGAGGGCCCTGGCGGGTGTCTGGGGCAGGGCAGGGCTGGGCGGGGGATGATTGTACCTGGAGAAGGTGAGGCGGAGGGTGCTGCACAGCCTGGCACGCACCACGTGGCCACCTCTCTGTCTGTCCCGGGTGCTGAGTGAGCTGTGCTGTGTTCTCTCGGGCAGGGATGGACTGGACTCTCCGGACCATGGAGCTGGCACGTGCATTGTCCCCTGAGGTGAAGGTTGCTGTGGTCCCAGCCTTGCCGCGGAAGCAGAGAGGGGCATGTGTGAACAGGCGGAGGAAGATCAGCCATTCCACAGTGAAAGGAAAGGGTAGGTGGCTGCGGGAGGTCCCTGCCCAGAGCAGCAGGGGCTGCCCTGGGTGGTTGTGGCCACGTGCTGTGTGGCTGGGGGGGAAGGGGAGATCATGGAGCAGCATGAGCCCAGCAGGGTGATGCAGTGCCAGGGGAGCACGCAGCAACCACTAGCTGACACTCGCGCCCGTGCAGCCTGCGAGATCAGGCCTGGCGTCGCAGGACCAGGCAGCGGATTGGGCAGGCGGAACCCCGGCGTAGCCTCCTCTAGAAGGTGCTGTGAAATCATTCCCTCCCCCAGAGCTGGCTACTGTCCAGGCCGGCGGCTTTGCTCTCCTGTGGGACTCTGCTGGCCCCCAGAGGGACTAGGCACTCCCCAGCAGTGAGAACACTTGTGCCAGGGCACCCCGTGCCAGGGCACCCCGTGCCGGCTGCACAGAGATGGAGGAAATGAGCCTGTTTTGCCCAGGTGAGGCTGCCCGGGCCCAGTCCCGTGGATTTGTAACTCCCAGTGGTACAGACACGACAAGTGGTGGGCCGCTCCTCTCCATACCCACGGAGCAGTGACAGCCTGGCTGGGGCAAGCCCCCCGGCAGGGCAGTGCCTCTCTTCCCCATCCGGGGTCGCCCCTTCTAGGGCTGGGAGGGAGTCCCTACTCCAGGCCTATTCGGCTGTTGCCCGCGAGGATTGCCATATGGGATGGTGTTCCTGAGAGATGGGCACAGAGCAGACTGTCAGCTTTCACCCTCTACCAAGCTGGGCTGGATCTGAGCCAGTGCCAGGGTCACGCTGAGGAGCCCCTGAGCTGGCTGTCCCAGTCCCCGATGAGTCTGTGCCTGCCATGTGGGGTAAGCACAGTGGGAGCCCAGGACTGGAACAAGCATTAATCGATGTGATTAAAGGCTCCCAGATGTGCAGTGGATCAGCCTGACTCAGCTCTGTCTCTCTGGGACACCCTTTCCATGTCTCCTGCAGCAGTGTGTGACCAGTGGCAGATTAGCCACTGGGCCAATGGGGCCTGTACCCAGGTGCCCTGGACAATTGGGACCCCCTGGAAAAATGGGCACCCCCACGCTCCAACCCCCCTCCTTGGAAGGAGCGCCGGGTGGGTGGGCAGACTGGGGCAAGCCCCCATGTCCTGACTCCATTTCCCTGGCAGGAGCTCTGGGGGAGGGAGTGGATGGGGGAGGGACTGCAGGCAGAAGGGGTGGGGAAGGGCCCCCACTTACTCTGGCCCAGGAGCCCCACAAAACCCTAATCTGCCCCTGTGATGGTAGTACATGCAGAGAAATCTGCTGGGGAATGCCCCCAAAATCAGTGGGGCAACCCCAAAGGGTAGAGATTGGCCCATGGCTGGCGGAGGAGTTAGTGGTTCAGTCCCCAACTCCCAAAGAGCTACGGTGAAATGATCGGGCCTCTCGTGGGGCGCTCCGTAGCTGATTTACAGGCACTGGGAGTAATTACAGCTCTCGGACCAAATGGCAGAACAGAACCGGCGCTGATAGGAGAGGGCTCTAGTGAACTGTGTTCCTAGGCACGGCAGGCGGGCAGCAGGGCGGGCAGCTCTGGGGGAGCTTAAGCCAAATTTCCAACCTATGGTGATGTCACCATCTCGAAATTCAGTGCAATGTCCTGGGCAAGGAGAGGCCGGGGCTGCGAGGGAGCGATGCAAGGGAGATGGGGGTCAGGCCTCTGAAGGAAGTTGGTTTGATGGTGACTTATCAACATTCCAGAAGTGTCTTGAGGCCCCACTGTGCTAGGTCCCATCCCAAAGAGCTTCCCGCTGACTAGCCAGGACAGCTGGGGGCTGGGACAGGCACAGGGAACAGAGATGACTTGCCCAAGGACAGCCAGCCGGCTGTGGCAGAGGCAGGGACAGAATCCAGTGCATTGCCTGATCCACTGGACCGTGCTGCCTAGAGACCCAGGTGCCTCTTATCACCTGACATTGTAAAAATCAAAAGTTTTGTCACCTAAAACTTGAGACAACAAATGTATTTGATTAAACCCAGTTATCAGCAAATCCCACCCCCGTGTACAGCCACTGCAGAGCACCCTGGGAAGTGTCAGTATTTGCAGACAGGAGTATAACAACTAACATCCCGAGCAGTGGCTCCCCATAAAGAGATGGAAACTTCCCTGCTTCTGCAACAAACCAGTGTTCAGAGACCGGTCGCTGTGACACTTCGGGCCCCTCTGGCCCCTCTTTTGTCTCTGAGGGCCCCCCTTTGATGTCAGCCCTTGTGAGGGGTGAAAGTAACTTAAAGGACTTACCGGTATGCTGGAGTACTGAGTGGGGGCGTGGCCTCAACTGGAAGAGGCGGGGCCTCAGCCAGAAGAGGTGGCTGGGAGCCCCAGGGCCTTTAAATCACCCCTGGAGCTACCAGCTGCAGAGGCAGCTGGGAGCCCTGGGGCTAAGGGGTGATTTAAAGGGCCTGCCGCTACCCGAGGGCTCCAGCAGCCGGGCTCGGGCGGTGCTTTAAAGGGCCCGGGGCTCCCCGCAGCGGCAGGAGCCCCAGGCCCTTTAAAGCGCCGCCTGAGCCTGGCTGCTGGAGACTCGGGGTAGCGGCAGCGGAGCTCTGGAGGCGATTTAAAGGGCCCGGGGCTCTGGCCACTGCAGGGAGCCCCGGGCCCTTTAAAGCGCCAGCCTGGGGAAGCCAGTCCGGTCCGGCACACCATACCTGCCCGTACCGGCTTACTTTCACCTCTGGTCCTTGTGCCTTTACCTCTCCTGGGGTGGAATGCCATGATTCGCCCAGCACACTTAGAATGGGCTCTGGGCGACAGCTGTCTGTATAGCCACTGCACTCACCCCACATCCAGCTGGGTTCAGGTCCTGTGGCCTTCCATGCGGGAGTCTGTGACCTGTGTGGAGCAGCGTGACCTGGCAGCCTTCTGACCCAGAGCAGGGCTTGCTTTGCAGTAGGAACAGAGCATTAGAGAAAATGGATTTTAAAACAACTGCCTCCAGCTGTGTGCCTTGCCTAGAGTCCTGCCATCCCCCACTGGCAACCTAGGCAGGCCTGACTTCGTCAGATGGCCTCAGAGGGGCCCTGCTTCTCAGCCTGGTTCCCCCTCACTGCAGACAGGTCCCTTTTCCTCCTGCCAGAGCTGTCTTGTTCTTTCCATGTTCCCTGGTATCTTCCGTCCTGGTGCAAACCAGGGTTGTGGGTTGGCTGGAGAGGAGGCAACATCATGAAAACGAATAGTTCTGGCATTGCCCCTTGAGAGCTCAGCGTTTGCTGAGAGGTGACTTATCTTGAGCCATTCATTCCCTTCCCAACAGCCCCCTATTAAACTAAATCAGTCTGTCCATACGGTAGCAGCCCAGTCACCAGCCCCACAGACAGCGTTCCTCAGCTCGCCCGGAGCAGCTCCAGATCTGTCAGTTGCCAAAAAATCCTTAGGATTGTTTTGATGTTTAAATGCAGCGGGATCAGTGCGTACTCAATGTGCCCAGTAGAGGGAGCTCTCGAGCTTCTCTGTGCACCATGCTCCTCTGGGCTGGCGTTGGCTCACTGCCCAAGCCGTCTGGGTGTGCTTGTCCTGCCCGGGTCCTGGAGCCCATGGGATCCCAGCCCTCACTGAACAGGGGGGCTGGTGAGAAGAGAATGTTCTAGCTCCTGCCCAGCCATACCCCAGGGGCAGACGATGGGGGTGGGTGGGACAATGCTGCCAGGCAGAAAACGATAGGCAGCAGGCAGCAGCCATGCCCCAGCCTGGGGCTGGTCCGGTTCCCTTGGTGCCAGCCCAGCTTCGCATCGGATACCATGAGTTGCCGCATCAGCCGAGCGTAGTGCTGACCGATTCCGCATTCCTGCAACGCTCGCTTGTTAGTAGGATCCCGTGTGCCCAGGGCTCCGACGATCAGTGCGTGAGTTTGGACCTGGTAATCCCCAGCTCTCAAAGTGTCAGCCCGAGAGGTGTATTTCTCCAGCTTTCGAGTTCAGGTGTCACCAGGGGCAGCTCCAGGCACCAGCGCACCAAGCGCGTGCCTGGGGTGGCAAGCCGCGGGGGCGGCCTGCCGGTCACTGTGAGGGTGGCAGTCAGGCAGCCTTCGGCAGCCTGCCTGCGGGAGGTCCGCCGGTCCCGCGGCTTCGGCGACAATTCGGCGGTGGGGATGCCAATGGCGCGGCACCGGCAGACCTCCCGCAGGCATGACGCCGAATCCGCGTGACCAGCGGACCACCTGCAGGTGCGCCGCCGAAAGCCGCCTGCCTGCCGTGCTTGGGGCGGCAAAAAACATAGAGCCGCCCCTGGGTGTCACGGCCGGCCGGGGTCCTGTTCTCAAAAGGAACTGTGACATCCATGATGATCTTCTTCTGTGCTAAGTATCAGAGGGGTAGCCGTGTTAGTCTGGATCTGTAAAAAGCGACAAAGCAGCATGCGTCTGATGTAGTGGGTATTCACCCATGAAAGCTTATGCTCCAATATTTCTGTTAGTCTATAAGGTGCCACAGGACTCTTTGTCACTTCTTCTGTGCCTCAGTAGTGATGACAATGTCTGGTCGCAGTTGGCTGTCCGTTCCAGGGATGGCGGAGTTCACGGCCACCTCCCCCACAGGTGGCAGGATGGCTCTGACTAGGCGATCCTGGATGGCATTGTGGTGCAGCTGCCAGGCTCTGGAATGGGGCTTGCAGATGCACAGGACATGGGGTAGGGACTCATTGGCATAGCCACACTTCCTGTATCGCTTGTCCCGATTTCCGTGACAGACATCTCCGTTCAGCAGGACGCAGTTGAGATGGGCCCTGTGGATGAACCTCCAGTTGGCAAATTGGGTGAAGCTGCCCCTGGAAGTGATTGCTGACATCCCACTTGGATGTCACCTCGAAGGCCTTGTCCTGGTCCAGCTTCCGTTTCAGGTTTCCCACGTACTGGCAGCGGATGGCATCCTTCAGGGTTGTCTCCAGCATGGTTCTAGCTCTTGGAGTGATGATTGTGTGCTCTGTATTCTTCACCTGTGGCACCAGGACTCCCAGCTCCTGGTGTTCCTCGTACCACGTCCAATGGCAGCC